ACACCATTTGCAGCAACATGGATGTCCCTGGAGAATGTCATTCTAAGTGAAGTAAGCCAGAAAAAGAAAAATACCATATGAGATCACTTATATGTGGAATCTAAAAAAAAAAAAAAGAACATAAATACAAAACAGAAACAGACTTAAAGACATAGAATACAATCTTGTGGTTGCCAAGGGGGCAGGGGGTGGGAAGGGATAGACTGGGAGTTCAAAATTTGTAGATACTGACAGGCATATGCAGAATAGATAAACAAGATTATACTATATAGCAAAGGGAAATATATACAAGATCTTGTGGTAGCTTCACAGCGAAAAAGAAGATGACAATGAGTGTATGTTCATGTATAACTGAAAAATTGTGCTTTACACTGGAAATTGACACAACATTGTAAAATGACTATAACTCAATAAAAAAATGTTTAAAAAAAAAGAAAACTCCTCAGATCTTAAAAGATCTCTGGGTCATCACTGGGAGGACCAATCACCACTTGGCCAGGCCACAGAACATTCAGTTTGTGCTGATTGGTTGACTCTGGCTGAACAAAAATATGCCCTATTTTCACAGCAGCTTCAAATACCAGCTCCGAGAAGAGGCCCTTGTTGAGCCAGAAAACAGCTTGGCTCCAGGTTGGAGACCTCGCCTCACCTGAGGTCCGATCACACTTCCTGACTTCAGCTTCTATGAGGTATCTCTGTATCCTTCCAATAAATTGCCTTTTTGGTTTAGGTTGTGTGACAGGATAGAGCAGGGGAGATTTTACCTCCAGGGGACACATAGCAATGGCTGGAGACATTTTCGATCGTCACAAATGGGGGAAGGGGTACTACTGACATTTGGTAGGTAGAGGTCAGGGATGATGCTAAACCACCTCTGATGAACAGGACAGCCCCCTCCAAGAAAGTTTTCCAGCTCCAAATTTCAATAGTGCTGAGGTTTAGAAACTCTGGGATACGGTATTCCATCTTCATACCCTCTCCATTCCAGCCTATGCACCTCCTTTAGCATATTATTATATTTAGAGCGTGATCCACATTAGCAAAACAAAGGTGACTTTCCCTCCTTGGAATCATCTTTACTTTCCTTGAGGTAGGGCCCATCCATACCAGGAATCTCCAGGAATAGAGCTCTGACCTTCAGGGGACGGGCAGACTAGCAGAGAAGGAAAGAAGAGGGAGACGGAAGTTTCTCCTGGGTAAACATCAAAGGTTGACTGTGTAGGGGAAAAAGATTGCTTTCTCCCACTGAGTAGATTCACATTTTGTTACTAGTAAGAGTATTTTCTTTCAGGCAATGGGCTAAACCTATGGGGCATGAAAAAGGTTTCACTGATTTGAGTTGGCTTCTTTCACTGGCCAACACAACAGCCTGACTGAGATACTGCCGCACACGTCAGATTTGTGCGTTGTGTTAGAGTTTTGAGGAAACAGCTACTCAAAAAACTTGACTGACTTCTTCCTGGTCCCAGGGAAAGTGCAAACAGGGACCTGGGCTTTTGATTCACGTTTCTTGCCCCATGAGACCAATCCTCACACCACTTTCTACCTGGACACAACATGATCACCCTGCACGGCCGCTGAGCCTGTGATTCCATCACATTAGAGCTCTCTACTCTGATTCTTCCGTTTCTCAGTTACTTTGTGTTTTTGAATCCAATTATCCCCCTTGATTAAAATCCTATGTTCTTCCTTTTATTAAAAAAAAAAAGAAAAAAAGAAAGAAAAAAGAAAAACATTGACATCATGGCAAATAGATTATAAAGGAGAGAATCTAGAATGCAATTGCATGTCCAGTGATGAAATTATTTTTCACTGGCAAATCATTTCTATCATTACATTCTTTTTCCTTTGACCCACTCAAGGCTCACCTGTCTACACGATCACTGTCTTCCAGCAGAGAAGTTATAAAGACAGGGGGTGGATGGACCACCTTGTCCTTATGTGATGCAGATTCAAAGTGAACAGGCCTCAGATACAAATGGAACTCTTCAAAACCCATCTCACATGCCAATTCCTTATAGAGACTAAAAGAGGGGTAAAAGACAAGAACGTTTGGTATTATTTCCCCCTAAAAGGAAGTAAGTGGTAAGAAAACCAAACCATCTGAATAAGCACAAAAGCAAAAGTCAAAACGAAAGTAAACCAAGTCCTGTGTGGAATGAATGAGTCAGAAAGGTCTTGGGTCTGCCCTAAGCTGTGACAGTTAAAGATAGTAGTTAAGGTGGGAGGAGATGTGCTTGGGCACTTCCTCAACTCTCACTTCCTGCAAGCTGGCGTCTGGCTTCAGAGCCCTCCTGAGTCCACCAATATTGCCTGCAATCGAAGGTTCACCATTTTCTCTCAGAGCCCTTCACAGCTGGCCCTTCTGTCCCCTCCTTGGGGGAACATCTTTTTTCTCCTGGCTCCAGGATCTTCTCCATCATTCTGCCTCATGACCATTCTCTCTCAGTCTTCATTGGCTTCTTCTCCTCTTTATTTTCAAATCTGGGTGTTTCCTGGGGTTCCAAACCCAGTCTTCTTCTCAACTTCTCCATGCCCTCCTTGGGGAGTTTGTCATCCAACCCCAGGCCCTAACCATCACCCCCGTGTGTAGGAACCTGTGATCCCATCTCTGTCCTGCTTCACTCTGAGTTCTACTCTCACGTTTCCATGGCTTGCAGCAAGGCTCCATTCAGACGTCAGTCTGGCATTTCAGTCTTCTTTGTCTAGAATGCCTTCCCCTCCTCTCTTACCCCTATCCTAACACATTTCATCTCGAGAAGCTGGTATATCAAGGCTGAGTTCAAACAGCATCTATATTAGTTTGTTAGGCTGCTATAAAACAGTACCATGAACTGGGGGGCTTAACCAACAGAAATTTATCTCACAGCTTTGGAGGATAGAAGTCCAAGATCAAAGTGTTTCAGGGCTGGTTCCTACTGAGGGCTTTGAGGAAAGAGTCTGTTCTAGGCCTCTCTCCTCTGCTTAGAGATGGCCATGTTGGCCTTGTGCCTTCACATAGTTTTCCTTCTGTGTATGTCTGTGTTCATATTTCCTCTTCTTATAAGGACACCAGTTATATTGGCTAAGAGTCCACCCTAATAACTTCATTTTGATTTGATCTCTATCAAGACCCTATCTCCAAATAAGGTCACATTCTGAGGTACTAGAAATTAGGGTTTAAACACAAATTTTAAGGGGACACAATTCATCCCTAGGCCATCTTCCACAGAGCTCTCCCTGACCTACATCATTTTCTGTGCTCCCATAGTATTTTGTTCATAGGACCAAAGTGTCATATTAAACTGTATTAGGGTTAACTGCTACATTGTGAACTCCCTGAAAACAAAGATCAGAAATTATGGGAAGTAGCATCCAAGTGCTTAATAATGGTCTTGGCTCCTAGTTTGAATTCTGCTCCTACTACTTTCTAGTTTTGTGATCTTAGGTAAAAATTATTTTCTGAGCCTCTATCTTCTCGCTGGTAAAATGTTGGTAAACCATCATATCATAATATCATATCATAAGGATATTATATCATAAAATTATTCTGGGAATTAAATGAACTAATACATGTAAAGTCCCCAGTACAGACCCTGACCATAATAGGCCCTAGATAGTGGTTGATGGTGGATGACTAGATCTTTTGGGTCTTCAGGACCTTTCATGGGGACCAGAGCACAACAGAACTCATGCACACCTGTAACAAATCCTCATGTTCCAAGTTCTTCCTATTTATAGGAAATGTCTTACCATCATCTCACACTTATACCTGAAACCTAACTCATGAAGCATTCTCTCCTCCTACCTCCTGAACCTTCCATACCTCCACCAGACCTGGATGCTGTCACTGACACATCCTTTCCTTTCTCTGGGCCCTCCACTGCTTCTGCTCTGCTATTCAACTTCATTATATTTGAGGGCAAATCCAATCAGTATTCACTGAGTGCCTGGTGTGGGTCAGGCTTCATACCAGCTGATAGGATACTATGGAAAACAATGTGGACAGAGCTTTTGCACTGAGGGAGCTTACACAAGCAGAAAAACCAATAAACCAATAGTAAGCATCTAATTAAAAGGCAATGGCTGAATGAAGAGGAAGCCCAGGTGCTCACAGGAGAACCCAGCCTAGCTGAGTGGTCAGAGGGGCATGGGGGAAGGCCTGAGTGAGAGGAGAAACAAGGGAGGGAGGCATCATTTCAGCCATTTAGAAAACTCACTCTAGCTACTCTAGGGGCATAAATGGGGCAAGGCTTGTAGATAGGGAGAACATAGTCTGTTATCCTCCATCTGGACCCTCAGTCCCCCTACTGACCGTGCTAAGTGTACACTCTCCAGACTCATTTCTACCAGCCGATGGCGGAGGGTCAAGAGTTCCAAAAGTTTGGAAAATGTCTCCAGGAGCAGCATATGAAAATCTTGGCCTTGGTTCTGTCCTTCATCTGCTGCAGACTTGAGTGCAAGCAGGCCTATCTCTCCCACAAGAAAGGGGTCTCCCATCACTTTAGCTGAAAACAGCTGAAAGAAAACAAAACAGTTTTTAAAATACAAAAAAAAGAAAGAAAGAAATTTAACATGTTAAGGAAAATATGTCAGTGGCATAGACTGCAGATCTAGAATTCCTAGGCTCAAGTCCTAGCTCTGCCACTTAAAAGCTGTGGGATTTGGGGCCATTTACTCAATTTTTATGTCTCAGTTTCCTCATCTTTAATTGGGGAAAAAATAACAGTGCCTAATAGGAACTAATAGATCATAACCATATCACAGGGTTGTTGAGAGGGTTAAGTGAGTTAATATATGCAAGAGTGCTTGGTACATAGTATTTGCTGTTATCATTATTATAAATGTTTTACGCCAAAATAGAGTAGAAATGACAAAGATGACCTAAATAGAAATAGAAGTTCCTGATATTTTTCAAGTATGTTAGTGGCCAATAATAATAACAATTTCTTATAAACCCCTCTAATTGAAGTTTCAGAATTTCCTGGGTTCGATCCTCAGTACCTCATTAAAAGAAAAAGTTTTTTAAAAGGACATTAAAAGTAAATAAATTTCAAAGTATTTTTACATATATTAACTCATTTTTATTTTCACAAGATCCCCAGGAAGTAGGCATCACAGATACCATTATTTCCAATTTATCAGTGAGGGATCTGAAGAAACACTGAAATTTTCTAAGGTCACACAATAGTACCGAGAGTAAACTTAGGTTTCTGAGTTCCAAGCTCAGTAGTTTTACAGTATGTCAAACTGTCTCTACAGTGCTCCTCCACTCAGAGCTGGCCCTGGGTGATTTGTGAAGTAACCACATTGTTCTTTAACGTCCTTCTACCTTGGTTGGCTCCTCTGCTCTAATGTTTTGCTACCCTCTCGTATGCCACTCCCAGCAAGGACCCAGTTTGGAATCCCCTAACCTGCCTTTCCTGGTTTGGCTTCCCAAAGGTAGGTCCACATATTGACCAAAGGCCTTGACTACTCCAGGATGCAATTTCTGGACTCTTGAAGTCTTCCAAAGTGATAAAAAAGATTTATTAAACTGATTTCCTGATTATCTTCTGAGGACAATACCTGCCCCATTTTCTGTCCAATATAAAAGATTGATCTGAATATTTATCATTTCTAGGCCCCGATTTGAACACATTTTAAAAATAATAATAATTAAAACTGTGTGGCATCAATGCGAGACTAGATAGGTCCCCAGATATTCACTATGATTTATAAAATATTTAAAATACATTTAAAAACATCTGGTACCATAATACAATATGAAAAAAATCCTCAATAAATGATAGTAGGATACATGGCTGGTAATTTTGGGGAAAATTCTACTTTGAGCCATACTTCACACTACATTACACACACACTCCAGGTGAAATACTAAAAGGAGTGAGATACTTTTAAAATAAAATAAAAATCTTAAGAAATTAGAGTAAAGTAAGACAAATATGAAACATCTGGAAGAAGTTTTGTTTTCTGGATTTAGGAAGATAGAAGAAATAACAAAGGAAAAGATAAAGGTTTGACTGTATGAAAATAAGTTTCTGTTAAAAAATAACAAGACAAATTGAGGGAAATAATTGCCGAAAATATGATGGACAAAAGGGTTCAAGTTTATTTTTAAGAAGAGCTCATGTAAATGGATAGGAATAACATTAAGATTCCAAGAGATCAATAAACTAAGAGAAAGAACAGAAAATTACAAAAAATACAGCTAGTAACAAGACATTTGGAAGAATAATCTCAACAAATAGCAAAGAAAGAAAATTAACAGTGTAATGCTATTTAATATGTATATAGTATATGTATATAATATATGTGTGTATATATAATGTACATATGTACATTATACATAACATGTATATATTATTAGCAGTGACATCATAAGCTTACACCTAATACTGTAGGGTAGAGCAGAACTGGTACTCTTGTACACTATCAGTGGCATTATAATTTGGCACATTTCTGGAAAACTGTCAACATATATTCAAACATGTAAATTTTATTTCAGCGAATCCACTTCCAAGAATCTATCAAAAGAAATTGATTCAAAATATGGAAAAATCTGTGAGCATGGAGATGTACCTTGCAGCATTTTTAATAATGATAAACAATTGTAAACTATTTGAATGCTCATCAATAGGGAAATGGTGGGATAAATTATGATCATCACTTAAGGGAATTATGTGGTCAAAAAGGTGAATATAAAGACTAGTTAGCAATAAGGATATTAGCAATATAACAAAGACTAGTTTGCAATATAATATGTTAACTGAGAAAAACAGGAGACCATGTATGAAGGATATGATTAGAAATATGTAAAACATATATATGAAGAATACTTGAATTCAGAAAAATGATTACAAATACATTTGAATGGTTACTTTTAGAGTAATTTTTTGCTTTCCTATTTTGCTAAAATTCTGAATTTTTTCAATCAATTTAAAAGAAAATAAAACTTTGGATAGGAAGGGACAGGAGGCTGAGGAATTCCTGTGAAACAGGTATTTTTGGCAGCTTGGAGCCTTTGAAAATTCCTTCATCCTACAGCAAGTATCCACACAGAGTAAGATCAAATTAGGAACCTAGGCTCAACTATGACAGCCTTAATAGAAAAAGAAAAGAACTAAAATCCAATTACAAATGCCTTGTAAATCATTGGGTCACAGTTTGAGCCACAGAGCATTAGAGCCGGAAGTGGCTTTAGTGATCACTGGGCTGGCTTCCACCTGCCCCAGCCCCCACCCCCCAGCACACAAACATAATGTTACAAGATGGGAAAAGTAAGGCTCAGAGTCACACAGCAAGTTACTGGCAGGGCTGAACTTGAGTCTAGGTCACTGACTCCTCACTCAATGCCGTCTCTCCTCTACCAGATCTCAGCTCAGGGCGAAAGAGCACGTTTTAGGAAGAGTATTGGAAAGAAAAAAAATTTAATTAAAAATATATATTGTTAAAATGTAGATAATAAACCATACCCATGTACATCTCCCTTTAAATTTTAACTGTAGCAGCATCCTGACAAACTAGAAAATTTGACCAAAAGCGGAAAAAAAAAACCCCATAAAAATGTTGGCAAGCCCTAGGACTATGATCTGTCTCTGGCCAGATAATGGGGAAATAGAGCCAAACGTAAAAACAAAGCTAAGTAGTAACATCTGGGAGGAAACAATCTCTTTGCCAAGGACCCACCTACCCCTTCAGAGAACATACATCTTTCTGGAGCTGTGCACTATACCAGGACTCAGGCTTGGCCGGGGTGAGCCACACATCCAGGGCCAGCTGCAGCACGTGCCTCTCCAGCGAAATGAGGGCGCTGGCCGACATGGGCCTGCAGGTGTGGCGGGCCTCCCTGAGGAGGTGCTCAAGGGCTCTGGAGATGCAGGAAGCTAGGCCCAGGGAAGGGTGGAACTCCAGCAGATAAATGTTTTTCAAAGCTGGGCTTAATGAAGAGAAACAATGAATGACAATTTTACACAACGAACAACTTAATCTGTGTCCAAAGATATTTGAATTTGATATTTTTCAAGACCAATAAAACAGCTCTTATAATCCAGGGCCTTATAAAAACCTGGAAGCTCAAAGGGGCTTCAGAGGCTGTCCAGGGAACCCACCGGGTTATACAACATGCTCTGTGCTTTAATGTGCACCCTTTTAAAATTGGAAGACACAGGAGTTTAATCTAAAAGTCAATAAGAATAAGAGCCATTGTAAGTCAAATCATTATACTGTACACCTTAAACTTATACAGTGCTGTATGTCAATTATATCTCAATAAAATTGAAAAAGATTCCAAAACTGTATATGGCAAACCTTTCAACATTTCAATAATCAATAGTTAGCCAAATATTTGAAAACAAAATAACTTAAAATAAGTGACTAAATATTAAATAATTTCCATGATTATTGCTATTTTTTACCTGAGTCTTTATCCTTTTTTTCCTCAAAATGATAACAGATGAAGATGATTTTTAAGTTCTATACACAACTGCTGGAATCATTCATGTTTGCCATAAAAATGTTATATTTTATAAATGAATGAGGCCAGAAATGATAAAACACTTGTCTATGGGTTATCCCTTTGGAAATTAAGGATACAGCACCAGTCAAGTCAAGGGCCTTTCTATACCTCCACAGAACTAAAGAACATAAATACTTCTCAAACCAATGCAAATGTGATTCTTCTTAGTCCAAGGTCTTAGAAACTACAACCCCGAGACTGGAAAGGAATCTCATCAAGCAAGTATCCTTTGCTTTTCAGACTATTCTGACAGGTCTTAGTAACCATACAGTCCTAGCATATTCCACCAAAACCTGCTTCCTGAACAGCATATTCTTGCCATTGCAAGCTGCACACACACACAGCTGGTGTCTCAAGCTTACTGCAGTGAAAAACTCAGTCCTGAGAAAGGTCTTTGGAGAAAATGCAGTCTTGTGCCTGGAGCTCCCAGGGTTCTTTCTCAAGAGTCAAGGTTACAATCTCAGCTATGAAATCCCTTGGCACCCTACCGATCCATCGGGTGATGGACCAAGATGACACTAGAGCTCACTGTGGTGATTTCTTACTGAAAGTCTGGCTGTACTGCTGGACTGTACGCTTCACAGGAGCATAGGGCCATGACTCTGTTGTTCATATGTGTGTCCCCAGCTCCTAACACACTGCCTGGTACACGTAAATCCTCAAAAAATACTTGTTGGCTGTTGAGAAGAGCTGGACAATTTCTCTACCCATTTGGAGGCAACAGAGAGGTTGTGATCTTGGGTGGCACAGATCAACTTGAGGCTTGTCACCAGCTTTCCAGTTCCTCTGTTGCTTCAAAGGCTGTAAAGGAATGGTGGGGGGAAATCATACTACTTATCAAGGGGGTGACTTTATGTACTCTCTCTGAGTGATCTCAGGAAATTTAATCCACTCCTTAAAGGGGGGTGGGTCACAAGGTAAGTCTACAGAAACCTTTTCGTTGACACTTGCTAGAAGAAAGAAATTCCTTTTTGAGAAACTTTTAAATGTTTCCATGTTTCATATATGTTGGCCTGTGTGGCACCTGTGATAGCATCCTCTGACAGTATTTGAAGAGAAACATTTTTAGGGACTTCTCAAGGGAGTGAAGACTCTGCATCCAGTGGCATAAGTTTAAATTCCAGCCTCCTTATCCTTTATTTACAAAGTGAACCCTTCTTCTGTGGCTTTTATATCTATTTCTCGCATCTCCAAATATTTGAAAGGTGCTTTGTAGAATAGTATTTGACTTAACGTCATACCCTTAAATTATCTTGAAGAAATTATCTAAATGTAAAATGTCTAAAGACAGCACCGACTTACCAGCTATTGTTGATGGAAATGAGTTGTTTGCAAATTATGTTGAGAGGAAGTCCAAATGTAGTGCTATCATCTGGATGGCTGTCTTGCCAAAGTCTCCGGACATACTCCCGCTGACACTCTATCTAGAAATGTAGCATGAAAGTTAAAATTAGAAAAGTTAAACTTTCCCATAGATGTGAGTTATGAGCCTTGGCATGAGAAGAGCAGAACATCAGCCCTTTGCGTCTCTTCATTACTTAACTAATTTTCACTCAGACGTGGTTTTGGAGATTCATTCACACAGAGACACACTTGTCTTTTTGTCTGAGCCAAGGGTCAGCCAGGAAAAAGCAAAGGCAACTAGCTTCAGGCAATCTCAGGAGGCCCAAGAAAACTTTCTGTCAAATAATTGACTGAGAGGAAAAAATTCTAACCAGGCCTAAGGTAATGGCAACGATCGTTTTCTCCTTAGCTTCTCCCCAGAGGACAGACTGTGCTCCTTTCCTGTGGGGTTCTAAAAATGGTTTTGACCTTTTAAAAAATAAATATAATTTTACACACTAATGTTTCACAGAGGGTTAGGGTTATTTCTTTCACTACCAATAAACTCTATGATTGAATGAAAACAGGTTGTCAATTCTTTGTAACCATTCAGTCTAATTAGGGTTGGAAATCTCCCTTTAAGACTGGAGTTATGCTTGGAATTCAACAATGCAAATAAGCTTATAAATAAACATGATGAAACCTAGATTCTAGACCAGCGCTGATAGGAAGACACAATTTCAGTGTTTTCCATCCTCTTCTCACAGGGGATATTTTAAAGCCCAAATGTACTCACATGCTGGTTGAGAAGGCCCCTCACTAGCTGCAGGTGAAGCCTCAGGCAGGCGCATTCATCTCGGTAGGCCTTAATGAAGTAAGGCTGGCTGAGATCAAACCTTGCGCACCTGTGCATGATGTCAGTGATCACTTGTGCTAAGGCAAACCTCTCCTCTGGGTCCAACGCATGCTGGTAGGCCTCAAAGTAACTGTCAAGAAGCTGCAAATAAGGTTGATAGTCAGAGAACAGGGTCCAGCAAAAAGAGATGAGTCCCCACCCACTCCAGGCTTTGGGAAAACTCCTCACCATCAGCAGGAGAGAGACAGCTCTGAACTTCTGGATACTGGCCCAGTGTGGGCAGCTGCAGCACCAAAGCAACTCAGAGTGATTAGGAAACCCACAGACCAAGTTAGGGAGGGCGAGGAAAAAGCACTCGTTTTGCCTCCGTCCCCCCTTCCTTGGCTCTCCATAAGTAAAAGAAGGGTTATACAGTGAAAAATATATCTAGTAGTTATAAGCACCAGTAAGATAGAGCGGTCAATGTCACTTTGTCAAATATACTTTTCTCCAACACCGTTTCCCCACAGACCCACTCTCCTTCCTGCATTTCACTTTATCACCAAAGGTGGGCAGGAGGCCTCCACCTCACTTCTACACCCTCAGCCCCATTAATGACCTCATAACTGTTTGCCGGAGTTTCACCTATGTAGTAACGATGGGGCGTGGTTGTGGTTAGAATATAAACATAAAGGCATTAATCCCAGATCGGAATCCACTAGGAAGGGCCTATCTAGGAATTCTCCTGCTCATCGAGGAAGCTTCTGTTTTAGTGGAGTTCCCAAGACTTTTCTAAAAACTGAAGAGAGCTTCCAGATGCTAACCACTAAAAGGATTCTTAGAGAATTCAGAAAAAGATGCTATTTTACTTTTACATTTGTCTATAAGCTTAAGGGATTTCTGTTCTGTGTGTAAATTCTATTTGTGTATAATTAGTCATGGTGCTAATCAGAAAAAGCTCTTCAGAGATCACTGGGCTGGAATCCCAAACAGGAACCTAAGGGTAAGATCTGTAAGCAGTTCCAAACAATGGAATTACTGTTTTAGGGTTGTTTTAAAAATTTCATAAGCCTTAGACACATTTATTTTTGGAGACCCCATCCCATGTTATATCAAATATATTAAAACTCACATCCCAATCAGTTTTCTTCTGTAAAAATGTTAAATGGTATTTATAATTTTGCTTTTCAAATATTTGGCTGTGAGCAATACATTTAATTAATAATTGGCTATGACTTCTGAGCAGCATATACTTTAGTATTCTTATGGAATGAGATCTGATCCACAAATTGTTTTCAAATGTAATGAGATGTTTACAAGTGCTCAGCTAATTTTTTTACATTTTATGGGCAAGTCATTTAAGAATTTGTCTATTTTATATTTTCGTATTTCTGAGTAACACTTTTTTTTTTTCTCTCAGATCTCACATATTTCCAATGGTCCCTGAAAAGCTTAGATCCTAAACACCAAGTTTATATTACCTGATGGATAAGTCAACTCTGACAGAAAGCTTCTGAACTTTCAGTCCCCCTGGATTACAATGGAACAAATTCCTTTTCTCTGTCGGCTTAATCCAACATCTCCTCCCTCAGAGTTTTAACTCAACATCTCCCTCCCCAGTCTTCTTTCACCAGCTCCTCTATTGGAGGTTTCACTCTTCTGCAAGGCCTCAGCTCCCAAGGTAGCTTTATCACCAAAGGCACAGGTGTGCCCAGTGTGTGCATTTAATTGGCAGCAAGAAGTAGGCAGTTGAGGTTGCAATTTCTACCAGCCCAACAGCCTAGCACACACTGAGATACATTAGAGAAAGAATGTGTTTTGTTTCCTTGGGTGCAGGTATTCCTGGTGGTTTCAGGTCAGGAAGTCAGCCCTCTTGACAATCTAAGGAATTTCCTAAAAGGAGATAAACAGGCCCTTTCATTATGTGGCGTCCATAGCTAAGAATGCAAGACCAGAAAGTCTTGAGAAGGCGTAAGCAGTACTTGAATATAGGTGGCAACAACGGAGAGGGGAGCCAAGGAACCAAGTGGCAGGAAAAGCCAAGAGCAGACTCTCCGTCTTGCTATTGTGGCTTCCGTGGCTCCTAAGGAGATAAGAGCTCCAGAATCAATAGCAGAATAGGAATCAAACACTGCCTTAGTAACAGATGTCCAGTGTCTGAGGGCTTCAACACTAAGGCTGCAGGATGGAGAGCCTGGGGCATTTCATTTAGAATCCAGTTTTGCAGGATGCCCCTTGGTCTACAGAATCTTGGGTCACCCTTAGTATAAAAAGGCTAACATCAAAACAAGCAAAAGCCTTGGGATATAGAGTGAGCTCCACAGGTTAGAAACTCATATACCTCAGAGTGGGAAATGAAGGGAAGGTGGAGATCCCCTTGCCTTTAAGTGAGCCCAGGGAAAATGAAGCGGGCAGGGTGATCTGAATGACCTTGTTCAGTCCACAGAGTCCTACTCAAAAGTAGCATTCGGTTAAATAGCAGAAGACAAAGCAGAAACAAAGGAGCGACTAGATGGGGCAAGAAGGGTGTCACTTAGTATCCTTGGGGGAGATTAGGAAAGAAACAATTACTTCTCTAAGCCATTCTGGAGGAACCTGAATCTTTCTGGCTGGGCTAGGGCAATCCCAGGAGCTGGTTTATAGTATTTGTATTGCTTTGACCTGTTTTCATACAAAGAGCCCTATTGTTTGGTTATTTGACAGGGGAAGTTGGTGGGGAGGGTTCTTGCTGGTGATACCAAGCTGCAGAGGCTGGTGCTACATTGCCATGATCACTTCATTGTTGGTAGGATTGCCAGATTTAGCAAACAAAAATATAGGTCATCTAGTTAAATTTGAACTGCTGATAAACAACTGACACTTCTTTAGTATATCACAAATATTTTACCTGGCAACCCTAGCTGTTGAGAAGGAAAATGTGGCTCTTTAAATTGACAAGCCTTTTTGCAAGCTTTGGCCTCCACCTCAAGAAGCTCTCAGATGGCCCTTTGCATAATTTTATTATGATTTTTTCCCCAACATGGGTAGGACTGTGATCTTTCCGCCTTGTGGGTTCTATTTATTATCTGTTTGCTAACTGGCCCATTTCCATTTAAACTGTGGGCTGGTATTTGTCTAAGAAGTCTCTAGCCTTGCCAAATGTCACCTGTGTGTGCCAAGGGCCAACTCTCAGGCAAAATAATATGTGGTACTCACTGACTGTAGGTATCAAATATTGGAGGAAATAGAAAAATAGCCAGAATGAATAATCTCAAACCCTACTGTTTATATTCTTTTTACCTCAACCTTTTTTTTACTTCTTGGATTTAAAAAACTTTTAAAAACAGTATTTTAGGTCAAATGAAAGTGCAAAACAGAAAATCAATGTTGGACACAACTTGTCATAGACTTTTTTTCTTTTCTTTTTTTTTTTTTCTTTTTTTTTTCAGTGCTCTGAACACATTCAAATTGCCCTGAAAATGTGTCCTCTAGTGGCTGTGGAGAGAATTAGCAGTTTGGTATAAATGTCACTTAGGAGCTGGTACAGCTGATGCCTGGTTTCTCTGAGCCTCTTAATCCACCTAAATTCACACCAGCTCTATTTTTATGAGCCTCTTACATAATATGGTTACTTTAAAGGTTTAAGACAACCCAGTGTGTTCGAGCAATTCTTAACTCCAGTGATTCCAATAAATTTGACAATCAAAACAGCTGAGGATACTTGGCAGTAGAATCAGTACTGGGGGAAATCAATTGTACTGTAGATAAAAATCTGATTTATCCATTAAAAATGGGCTCTTTCAACAATTTCTGATTTAGAAGGCCACATTTTCCAGTTTTGGCACAGATAGCTTAGTTTCTATAGAGAACTTATTCTCAGGGTAGAAAGGAGGGAGATATTTTCAGTGATTGTTTTAAGTTAAAATAATTTCATATCCCTTAGAAGAAACTAGTGGACAGCCCTGGTGGCTTAGCACAGAATGAACCCTAGGCCAAAGTGAGGAGAAACTGGTTTGTTTTTCATTACTCTCTGGACTTCTATTCTTCCCTAGTCATGCCTGGGGCCTCCACTGGGGGCCTATAAGAACTGAAAGTGGAGGTGGAGAGAGTACAGAAAAGGGGAGTTGTTTAAAACACATGCCTGGACCAAAAACTTGTGGAATTTGAGGATTCTGTCTTATATTTAATGCATCTTCTCCAGTTTCTACACTGTGAGCCTAATTATCTCATTTATTCAGTTGATCACAGTATGGTTCTAATTGGCAGATCAAGGCTGCAGATGCAAACTCTAGAGGTCAGTTACCTTTGAAAAGAGGAATCATTTTCAAAGCCCAAGACTTGTACACTTTAAGTCCAGCCAGTTGTTTTCAAAAACTGGGTGACCTATAACTCCGTGAGTAACAGACCAGTGAGTAGATGAAATGGTAAACCATCTATTCTACCAGAAAAACAGTTCAGAGAAAACACTGCCACTTCCCCATTTCTGACCACATCACAATGCACTGTAACGTGGCTTCCACCTCCACTACTCTTTTAAGAGAGTCCTACAAAGCTGGCAATGACCTCCTGAGGGCTGAGCCCACTGTCTGGCTTTTAGGACTCACCTTTCTTGATGTTTCACTCTACTCCATGCTAGTAACCATCCTTTCCTAATTAAAATGTTCTTTGTCTCGTGGGCTTTCCTAACACTGTCCCTCCTTTTTTTTCCCCTGCAGTCTCTTTGGCTACTTTCTTCTTGCTCCTCTCATGGATTCTTGTTTCATGACCTTTCCCTTAAATGTAAGTGTCCCCAGGGACCCATTTCAGGCATCTCTGGCTTTTCCTAGTCATTTTGATTCATTACTATGGTTCAGCCTCGATGTTCATACCTCAGCTCATACCTGCTCCTGAGCCTACAAAACAGTCACACCTGGGTTTTAGCAAACTTTCCTCACGCGCCTTATGTCCTAGTCTCAATCCTACCTTCCCATCTAAAGACACCCCTCTTCCTTCATTCTGTTTCGGTCAATAGCCTCCTCCCTGACCCTGAGGAAGTGATTTTAATTCCACCCTCATTCTCTCACTCTGATATCCAGTCTGCAAATCCTGCCATTTGCTTTCACCCACTCACATGTGGCACACATTTCTAAGATTGGTCAGTTTGTCTGTGTTTAGCAAAGTGAAGCTTCCCTGACAGAACAATGAACATGAGAGGAATCATCATTCTTTCTCGCTAAAAGCATCTGTGTTATAAAGGGTCCTACATTATACAGCCCTCTAACTAATCATACCTAAAAGATAAAGTTGTATCCTTCACATTTGATTTTTTTATAACAAAAAAACCCCACAAAGAACATAAAATGTTCACATCCTTACAACTAGCTGAGATTATCTGAAGAATTATTATTTTCATTAGGAGCTGCCTTAAAAGACCCACTGGGTTTTAAAAAATACTGAGTTTTATTTAGAATATTTAACAGACGTTTTGTTTTCTAGGCAAAAATACCTGGCGCTTGTTTTCTAGAAGAGTTGCTTCCCAAGTCCACATGTCGTACAGCACAGCACATCTGTCCACACCTGCATGGGCCCATCCACAGTCATGGCCAGTATTGGAGTTGATGCCCACTTTGTGGCCTAGGAGAGAAGTGGATGAGAATGACCAGAGACAGGCCTCTCTACGAAGTTATTCTAGTGGAAAAGCTCCTCTCAGATTGTCAGCTCCACTTCAGGAATGAAAACGCTGAATCAGTAACTGGGATTCCAGAGAATCAGCTAATGAGCCCTGGGCAAGACGAGGCCCTAAGTTCATACTTGTTGACTTCTAAGTCAACAGAGGTTTTTGTCTTGACTTCTTAATATTAAATTTAAAGACTAATTTAAGGTAGAGTGCATGCTTAGCATGCACGAGGTCCTGGGTTCAATCTCCTGCACCTCCTCCAAATATACATTAATAAATAAGCCTAACTACCTCTGCCTCATAAAACAAAACAATACAAAAAGACTAATTTAAAAAATGTAACCAAAATTTCAGTTAACATGAAATATTTACTAAAATGTCTTCAAATCTGTCATTTAAAGGCAAAACAAACATTTCTTCTTCTGTAAAAATAGGTCCCTGGTGATTAAACAACAAATCTGCTATATAAATGGATGCTAGCCAAGTCAAAAAATTTCAGGGAAATTTCTAAGATATTCCTTAGCTATAGTAATTACTAACTTAAATCAATAAGTGAAATCATTGCCACTATTCAGCTAAAATATTTTCCCACTATATTAATGGAAATTTTCACTGTCAGCATTATTATCGCTTAAAATTTTAAGTGATCAGTTTTCAGGTGCTGGAGTTGAGTTTAATAATAATGGTATATGATGGGTACTGAACAAGAGAAAACTAGTCAGGAATTTCTCTAGCAGCAGTTGGGAAATCTTTTCACAATGGATGATCATGTATGTCCTCCCTAGCTCAGTGAGAGATGTTCATGGGGCTAAATGACTGCTAAGTGTTTCAATCAAAGTAAATTCTTAGCAGCTGGAAAGAGTCACATCGTACTGTAAATTAGTATCAGCAGAAATGATGCATTGGTATATAGGATGACTAGTAAAGATAAAAGCTAACAGCTGAAATTAAATGCCCTGCAATGTTGGATGCCTTCACTATATCCCATGATTCAGATCCCCAATGGTCTGTGGCAAAGAGAACAAAGAGTTCAATCCAATATTAAATTAATTCTGCCTGGGATCTGAAAAGTTAATTGTCAAACATTCTTAGGGCAGCATTTTATAACAGTATGAACATGAATTATCCTTAATTAAAGTCTTCATATGTTACAAAATAGCACAAACCCTTGCTAAATTTTCCTTCAGGTGTTGCAATGTGTTTAGAAACTCTTAAGTTCTTTCCAATGCAATGCGAATGCTATCATATTATTCCTAAAGGAATATTCTTACCTCACCTATTTCTAAAATTGGATAAATGTTAGTGATGCCCAAAGGAAGGGAGGATACAGGTTATGGGTTATTTGATTGCCCTGAGTAATGATTTCTCCCTCTGGGACTTGTCTGCTATTTTCCTAGCCAGGTGTCTTCTTGCATCCTGGTGGTTTTCTGTTAGGAACTCAGGAATATCTATACTTCTAACTGCAGTTTCCCCAAGGTCAATCACTGTTTTTGTCACTTTGATCATTAATTTCACTTGCTTACTTTCTGTCCCTGAGGGCCCTGCACTCAGTGGTGAAGCAGGAATGCTAATGGGCAACAAGTCTAAACAACAGTAAGAACTGTAATCAAGTCACAGTCTCCAAAAAATGAGGGACTTGAGCTGGAAACAAACCTTTTTCTAAAGTGGTGTGTACTGAGGAGGTGTATGTATGTGCTTAGTGAATTCTCAGATACTTTGGGATATGCATTTATATTTTGAGGTGGGAGGTGTTAAATAGAGCCCTTAGTGTTTTTTGTTTGTTTGGCTGGTTGATTTTTAAAAACCTCACTTCTGACCTTTTTCTTTCTCAATGTAATGGCTGGCCAGCAGCAGCAGCTCTGTCTCTAGTTCCTTCAGATCACTCAGGGCTTCATCATACACGACATACACTCCTTGCTGGTCCTGGGTGTGAATGCAGCCAGCAACCATGCAGTAGTAGTCATCCTGGTTCTCTACTTCTGAAAACTCCATGAACTGGACACTCTGAGCCTGGTGAAAGAAAGCCAAGCCTGGAAGTTACCGGAAGAGGGAGAGATCTATTTGTTAGCCCAAATGGACCGAACAGCAGACTTCTGCTCCCACATAGTGGGCTGTCAGCATGGAGCTGTAGACATGATGACTGTATAAAGAGCTATCTATATGTAGAGAAAAAGATATTAGCAAAGAATGTCGGCAGGGAAGGGTAGTTCCTGAGGTAGATAACCAGCTGATTAAGGTTTTCTGATTAACTCAGGATTATCTGGATAAATGTGGGCAATAGAGCCAAGTGTAAAAGTGATCTCTGAAGTCAGAGTGCCTGTGTTCAGATCCAGCCTCTGCCAGGATCTCAACTTGGGCAAGTTACACAGAGATTTGTAGTTTCCAATTCCTTATCTGTAACATGGGGGCAGTGAAGACACCCTAACAGTTGTAGGGATTTGTAGTTTCCAATTCCTTATCTGTAACATGGGGGCAGTGAAGACACCCTAACACTGCATATGAGGCCCTTGAGATCTAGAAACATTAGCTGTTAAAGATATTTTTGTTTTAATCTTATAAATACTTCTAAAGTGCATTAACACAATGTCAAGTCTTAGTAATACTCTGGGTTGAATAGTGTGTCCCCCCCAAATTCACGTCCACCTGAAACCTGTGAAGATGCCCTTATTTGGAAACAGAACCTTTGCAGATATACACAAGCTGAGGTCATACTGGATTAAGGTGGGTCCTAATCTAATGACTGGTGTTCTTATAAAAAGAGGAAAATTTGGAGACAAATACAAAGGGGAAAAGGGCACATGAAGGCAGAGGCAGAGACTGGAGTGATGCATCTATAAGCCACGGAACACCAAGGATTGCTGGCAACTACCAGAAGCTAGAAGAAGCTAGGAAGGATCTTCCTCTGGAGCATTCAGAGGGCACAGCCCGGCTGACACCCTGAGTTTGGATTTGTTGTCTCGAGAACTGTCAGAGAATAAATTTCTTTCCCAGTGGTTGTGAGCCACTCTCTTTGTGGAGCTTTGTTGTGGCAGCCCCAGGAAACTAGTACAAGTAATTTGCATATTCCAACCATAATTTTATTTTACTTTTTGGATGACTGAGGACCTATTGCTTCCCAAGAGTCATTATTCTAGTAATAATTCTCAGAATTTCAAACTTCTCCACCCTCTCAAGCCTCTGAATTCACTTCTCCTCTCCCCGGCCCCAGTGCCCAGCCTCCCTCAGTCTCCACAGAAGCCCTTCCATTTCCCCACTCACACACAAACACCACTGCTGCCCCTCCTCTCCTGCCTCCTCAGAACTGTAGGGGCTGATTCCACTCCCCTTCTCTAAAAGCCATTCCCTCCCACTCTGAAGCATATCCTCTCCTTGGACATTCAACTCATCTCATCCAGAGATTTCCCAGTTGACACTGAAACATCTCACAGCCGCTCACTTTAAGATATCCTCACACCCTTCCCCAGGCTCCACATTGTCTCTCCTCCTCACAGTCCATCTTCCTCAGATGTTCTCTGTACTCACTGTCTGCATCTCCTCACCACCTGCTTCTCGCCCATTCCCATCGGGCTTCTGTCTCCATCCAGCCACCCCAACCGCTTTCACTAAGACCAACAGTCCTTGCTCCACTTCCAGCAGACTGTGTTGAGTCATTTTACACAACCTCTCAGGAGCATCTGACAGTGTAGCACTCCCGGCTTCCTGACTCACACTCTGCCCTGGTCTTCCAGAACTCCATATTCTCCTTGTTCTCACCAACTTTCCAGCCCTTTCTTCTCTATCAGATCAGTACATGGTGGCCTCACTAAATCCCCGGTCCTAGAACCTCATCTTTCCCTCCTATAATCCTTTCTTAGGAGATAGTACAATTGCACAGCTGAGATTACCCTCTTTAAAGCTGTTTGCTCCCCAATTTATATCTCCAATCCAGATTTTCTAGAGCTTTAGACCCATTTAGCATCTGTTCCTGGGCATCTCAAAGGCCCCTCAGATTTAACATGCTCAAATCACGTGATCTTTCCCCACAAACCCAGGCCACCTCCAGCTGCCCCATTTTAGTAAATAGCACCACCACCCATCCACTTCCTCTAGCATGAATCATTCCTGACATCTCTTTCTGACTCAGCCTACACATCCAGTCTATCACCAAGTCTTGTTGATTTTACTTCCTATCTCTCAAATCCACCCACTTGCCTGCATTTCCACCCACCACTGTAGTCCAAGCTGTTATTACCATGCACTAGAACTAGTTTAGGAGCTTCTAAACTGGTCTAGCCTCTTAATTGGTCTATCCACATCCCCAATAGTGCCAAGGTTGAGAAACCTTGGGATGGTTTCATTTCGTATCACTTTCCACCTGGATCACTGTGTCCCGCCAACTCATGTCTTCTTTTGATTTCTTGTGGGTGTCATGTTCTCCCTGGCCACAGGTCCTTTGCACAGAGTCTATTCCCTTCAGTGGAAAGGTCTCCCTCCACCCTTCATCTTCCAACCTCAGCTCAATCACCACTTTTGCAGGGAACTCCCCCTTGGCCTCCCTATGGCACCAAGTATCACTCTTTTGAGGTACTTATTGAAGTAACTGTTTTATATTTATTGTGTAATTATTGATCAATATTTGTTTCACTCATTGGATTTATAAGTACTTCTAGGGTAAGGAATATGTCTGTTTTTGTTTATTATTGTGTCCTAAGTGCTTAGAAAAAAATAAAATCAATTGTTTCAGATTTTTGGACATAGATTTCTTTTATGCTATGATTTTATGATCCTTACTTATACCTTTAATATATACCAGTCAGAAATCCTGTGTTTTGCCCTCATGGATTCTCATGTCATTCAGCCTAATAAATGCATTCTCAATGTGGGTGATAATGTCTAGGTTAAAAAGTATTTCTTGGAGGGCAAAAAAACCTTACTCTTTTTATGTATAAAGCACAAATATACAGATTGTACATAAACAGATACATGGCATATCACTAGTATTACATTTCTTTGGGGATGAGATTAGGGGAAAAAGTCTAAAAAAAGTCCTTGTGTGAGGAGCAATAATGAAAAAAAAGGTTAAGAAACATTGGCCTAGTTTTTCATATTATATAAAATACAAATTTATATATTTTAAATGATAAAATACACATAATATTTATGTCTTAGCCATTGTTAAGTATACAGATCAGTGGCATTAAGTTCATTCACACTGTTGTGCAAGCATCACCTTCATCCATCCAGAACACTTTTCATCTTGCAAAAGTGAACCTCTGTCCCATTAAACAACAACTCTCCATACCCTTCCCCAACCCCTGGCTACCACCACTCTACTTATTGTCCGAATGATTTTGACTACTCCAGCAATTCATATATGTGGAATCATACAGTATTTGTCCATTTGTGCTAGCTTATTTCACTTAGCAGAATGTCTTGAAGGTTCATGCATGTTGTAGCATGTGTCTGAGTTTTTCCTTCCTTTTTAGGGCTGAATAATGTATCACTGTATGTATATATCATATTTGTCCATCCATCAGTGGATACTTGAGTTGCTTCCACCTTTTAGCTATTGTGAATAATGCTGTTATGAATATATGCATACAAGTATCTCTTAGAATCCCTGCTTTCAATTCTTTTGGGTATATACCCAGAAGTAGAATTGCTGGATCATATGAAAATTCTATTTTTAATTTTTGAGGACCCACCATATTGTTTTACATAAGCAGCTGCACCATTTTACATTCCCATCAAGAGTACACAAGAGTACAGTATAGTACACAAGAGTTCCTTGCAAAAGTGATGACTGAACTGGGGTTGGAAGATGAAGGGGCTTTAACTAGGCAAAGAATATACAATTTCTCCACATCCTCACTAACATTAGTTATTTCATATAAATATATATACATATATATATATATATACACACACATGTATTTCATATATGTGATATTTTTAAAGAATAAAAGTCTGATTTTCTTAGTTGTTATATTTGTGAGTCATTTAAACTATGGAATCAATGGCTCCCAATCATTTATCCTCCATCTATTCATCATTGTAACATAAAAACTTTGCTAAGTTAAGTAATCAGTTCTTGGATAGAAGCCATTTATCTATAAATTTTAAGCAATCATTATATCCTGGCTCTCAGTAGACTTGTCAATTGGTTTGTGTATGTGGCATTGCCTATTGTATAACAGGAAGCCCTCTGGAACCTTCACAAACAGGGCAGATAATCATCTACTTGGATGGTTAACTGTAAATATTGGAAAGGTAGAGGGGCAGTACTCTGTGGGTCCTTTCAATTCTCTGGCTCTATAATTCATTTTTATGTACTGTTATAAGTACAGCAGATGATGAAATACTTAATCTCCCTGAAGACTCCTCTTTAATGAACTGCTCATTCAATTATAAATTCTTAATGATTCAAGCAGGAACTTTGAAATCTTCTAATAAGTAAAACTATGAGCATTTCTAAATAATAGCTAGGGTTCAGAATCTTCCATCAGAAGGATATTTCATAGTTAAACATTTCTCTAGTCAGTGGTTGCTTTGGTTTACTTTGCTTTCTACTATTCCTTAGATATAAAACTTTTCAATAATTTGACTAGGAGTTCCAAAAGTGAATGTATTATTTTTTAATGAAATGATAGGCACCATTAGAGAACAGAAAAGATGCTAAGAAAATGAGATGTCACATATACAAAAGTTAAACAGCTTGCTTAGATTTATAAACAAGCATGTTGGCTTCTGTTGGCATTTAGCTCCTGTGACCTGTTATGCAAAATGAGCTCTCCTCTGAGGTAGAAAGGGACAACTTAATGTGATATGCTTTAGCCACTTTACTGGAAAAGACCTTTCTTTCCCAGTGTTCTTGTACAGGGGAATTTTATAAGACTTTAAAGAAATGGCTACTGGATTAAGTTCTGGTGCTGACGGAAAGCAATAACAGTGTCAAGACACCGACTGTAATGCCATTGTCTATTTAAATGGTCTTTTTTTTTCCACTTTCACCACGCTCACCTCATTGTTTG